TCTCTCTCCCTGCCGTTCTCTCCTTCCTCTCCCCCCCTCCCTTCCCCCTCCCCCTCTCTTTTGCCTCCCCTTTCACCTGGTTTTTCTTCCACCGCTCTCAGCTCGTCACGAAGGGCGCCCGTCACAAGATCTACCTGAGCATACAGAAGCTGAAGGAGCGGCAGCGGGTGCTGCGAGCGATGGAGAACGACGTGCTAGAGGGCGCTAACCTGCGCAACGCGCTCGCCGAGCTGCGCGCCATGCTGAACACGCCCGCGAAGGCCTACACGGCGACGGCGAAGGCGGGGGTCGCGCAGGGGTCGCCGCCGCCGAGTCCGGGGGCGGGGGACGCCGACGCGCCGGGGCAGGTGGCGGAGGGCGACCTGCCGGGACAGTTCACGCGAGTCATGGGCAAAGGTGAGCGGCGTGTTGCGGCGTGTTGCAGAGTGTTGTAGAATATTGCAGCGTGTTGCAGAGTGTTGCGGCGTGTCGTGCGAGCAGGATGGGAGAGTTTTGCATGTGCACGTGCCGCGTGGTGTTGCGGTGTGATGCGCGAGAGAAGAGTTTCGCGCCCGCGTGTTGCAGAGTGTTGCACGGACGAAGAGTTTTGCGGCCGCGTGTTGCAGAGTGTTGCACGGACGAAGAGTTTTTCGTGAGCACGTTGCGGTCGTCCCGTAACACCACCATGCGCGTTTGTCGTTGCAGTTTGCACTCAGCTGCTCGTGTCATCGCGTCCGGACGACGAAAACTTTAGCATCTACCTGCAGCTCATTGACAGATGCCTCAATCACGAAGTAAGTGATGATCGGCGTGTGCAGGGGTCGGTTGGGTGGGTGGATGGGATAGCATGTAGCACGAGAGGGAGGCTTTCACCTGATGATTCAATGTTTGATCGTGAAGTAAGTGATGAGGGAAGGCTGCATTACATAAGCGTGCAGGTGTCGGTTGGGTGGCGGGGGGGGACATGTTGCGTGAGAGGTAAGCTTTCACATAATGATTCAATGTTTGATCGTGAACTAAGTGACAAGGCAGGGTGTGTTACATCCATGTGTGGGTGTTGGTTACAGGGAAGCATGTTCATAAGAGGGATGTTTTCACCTAATTATTCAACGTTTGATAATGAAGCAAGTGACAAGGCAGGGTGTGTTACATCTAGGGCTGTAACGATCCACCAAAATCGAATCGGATCGCGATTCTCTTCCCTCGATCCGATCCTCGATATTTTTCCCCGTATTTTTGGTTCCACTTCGATACCACTTTTTCCCTCCAATAGATGGCGGCACTACGCTATATACTGTGGAGTGTTACTCACCAATGTTACTCAGCGTCTGTGCAGTGTATATATACTCTCTAGACTCTAGTCTATTCACCATTTAGTATTCATTAGCAATTTCTATTAATTTATTATTGCAAAATAATGAAAATATAAAAAAATAAGATAACATTTCAATATTTTGGGAATCGAATCGAGAGGCTTGTGTATCGTTACAGCCATGTGTTGGTGTTGGTTAGAGGGGGGCATGTTGCGTGAGAGGGAATTGTCACCTAATGATTCAATGTTTAATCGAAAAGAGGTAGGCCATAACACGTAATGTTTCTTTTCTGCTATTTTTCCCAAACTAAATTTCCCCTAACACTTGCCTTGCTCAAAAAGTCTGTACCTTAGCACTCGCCTTGACTGATAAAATCTGTACTCTAACACTCGCCTTGACTGATAAAATCTGTACACTAGCACTCGCCTTGACTGATAAAATCTGTACACTAGCACTCGCCTTGCCTCCAAAAAATCTGTACCTTAGCAATCGCCTTGACTGATAAAATCTGTACCCTAGCACTCGCCTTGCCCCCCAAAAATCTGTACCCTAGCACTCGCCTTGACTGATAAAATCTGTACTCTAACACTCACTTTGTCCAAAAAAATCTGTACCCTAACATTCAGCTTGCCCAAAAAATCTGTACCCTAACATTCACCTTGCTCAAAAAATCCATACCCTAACACAATTGCCTTGCACTAAGAAAAAATCCGACCCCCTGCGACACCACAAGTTGCACTCACGCGCTCATCATGTCTGTCCGCTCTCGCAGGCCTTCACGGTAACGCAGAAGAAGAGACTGCAGTCGTGGAAGCAGCAAGTGCAGAAGTCGTGGCGACCACCTCAGCAGCAGCGGAATCCGGGCAGGGGCCCGCCGCCCAGAGGGTAGGTGTTGCCGTTATAGGGAGCGTGAGACCTGTGAGGGTTCGACGAACTTATCCATCCTCTATAAAGTTAGCGATGAACGGGGTGGGTTTTTCCTCTAGCTAGTCGGGCCAGTTACAGTCAAATCCGTGTTAGCAGGTACTTCTATTAAATGGACACTTGTCTATAAAGCACATAGTTTTGGGTATTGCTTGAGTGGCTGATACACAGAGTGGACCCACTTTCTATAGAGATACTACATTTGTATAAAGGACAATTTTGCGGCTATGCTTTACTGACCCTTATATACAGGTGTGACTGCATCTGTGAAGAACACTAGCCGTCATCCAAATGTTACTAGTCAATATCTTAAAGCAATACGTTCAAGCAGAAACAGTGAAACAAACAGCAGCAATAACAACAACAACAACAACAACAACAACAACAACAACAACAATGTGTTAAACAATACTCGTGTGCCCCCGGCATTCAACGTATTATCCCAATTCCATATCTAGTGTTACTATAGCCAGAGCCAGCCTAGCTGCTGAATTTTACGATTAGGTAGCAGAATCTAATATGTACTTGAGCCCGTGGTTAGAGGTCTGGTGGTGATGGTAATCCTTAGCAATGCACTGCCCGTGCAGAGAGAGATATAGCAGTGACATTGGCATACTTATTGTGACGCATCGGCGGCTCCAGTAATGATTTCCCGCCAACAGTTTTGGAAATCGCTCTGACCACAGGACGTAATTTCGTGCGCTGTAATCTGCGACCTCGTTCGTTCTTTCTGCAACCTTATCGCCAGTCGACGCCGTTTTAATCGCGCTCACGTCGAAAGATTATTCGTGCCCGTGATTGGTACGCCGCGAATCGAAACGCGAATTCTCTCGGAATTGTGATCTCGTGGGGAATTTTTCCCATTTGTCTTTGGCTGATGCCGTGAGGAGGTCTCGCCTGCAGTGTGTGTGTGTGTGTGTGTGTGTG